CACCACAGGACAAGACCAGCAGACCATAGATAGCAGTCTCAGCATGAGGATATATTATATATATACTTATTTATTGATATATATATATGTTATATATATATATATGTTATATATATATATATACCTGGGACGTCGAAAGCATGTCTTTTTTTGGTCTTTTGGAAATGGTGCGTAAATGTCCCATTCGGGACAGAAGGTGCGTAAATGTGCGTAGTCGTGTTTGGGCCCGGTCAGGATGCATCGCACGATGGGTTCTGAATACCCTAAAATACTTGATCTCGAGATTAAGTGAATAATCTGGCTTGAGGACAAAGCCGTGGTGCCGATGGCTCCAGGGAGCTCCGAAGGGTTCGTGCTGCAACAACATAGGGGTATCAGCCTTCTGGCCTGGTCTTGATTTGTGTCAGATATATATACCAATAATAGACCGGTTTATTGAATATATAGGCACGACTATACTAGTGACTAGTGGGATTATATAGGCAGGACTATACTAGTGACTAGTGGGATTATATAGGCAGGACTATACTAGTGACTAGTGGCATTTCTGCAGGAACGACTATACTAGTGACTAGTGGGATTTCTGCAGGATGGCATCAGTAATTTTGTGCAAACTAGTGGAAACCTCGGTTGCTCATGGCTCCCTCTGCTTCCTGCTGATCTTCCTACTTCCTGCTGGTCTTCCTGGCTAGATTGGGTTAGAGGCCTGTGAACCCCCATGGGCAATAAGGGCACCAGTCCTGCATGGCAGGGCTGACAATTGTTGGACGGCTTCGAGCTTTACCTTCTTGGTGGTGCGAGGCCTGGCCAGATTCGGTTGCGGCTTTGGTTGGGCTTTCAATGAGGAATCAGGAAATTGTTGTTTTCTGTATGCCAGGGCGAGGTGTCGCTGGCACAGGATGGCTTCTCGGAAGCGCAGCTGGCTAGTTTTAGCTGTCCTTTGTGTGGAGGTAATTTAGTTTTGTTGGTGATCCTTTCCGTTGCCAGGGGTGTGGTTCCTGGTCCGACGACCTGGAATGTGAACAAGGCACGCCTTATTGCACTTGGAATGTGAATCGGTCTTGAAGGCAGATCGCTGGTGTCCGCATGTATGGCAATTTGCATTCCAAAACCGGCAGAAATTTTGTGTTCGAAGAGGGGTTGTCTTCGGATATAGGGCAATGGCTGCAGCGAGCAGCTCGTTTCAAGCGAAGGACTTCCAGTGGGTGGCACAGCTGCCTGTCCTCTGGGAGAATGTCCGAGCCTTCCGAGAGCGCAGTTTGAACGGCCAAACTCTGTTGTGTGGGCTGCACCAGCCCGGGCATGGAGATCGCGAAGTCGTGCTTGGCAGCATTCGGTGCTGCAAGTTGAATTGCGAGGTGTTGAAGGTTGTCCTGAAAGTCATGGGTGACGTCGGGTGCATTTTTGTGGCCAAAGTCTACCTCCTTCAAGCAGCTGCATTGGAGTTTCATAGCAACTCTGGATATCCGGATGCCATGTCTTTGGGTGTGGCGGCTCATTCGGACGGCTGGGGCTTGAAACGCATGTTGAGCTTTTTGAAGCGCAAGTGGATGCGAGGTCAGAAACCTCGTGTATCTCGATAGTGTCCAGAATGTTTGTATTTCTTGATCTGGTTTGGGGGTGTAGCTGGGTAGTATCCTCCCTTTTGTCTGTGTGTGGATGAGGACAGAACGATTCGTTTCATGGTTGCTGAGTTCGAGCGGGCCTACCAGACTCTCAGGGCTGAAACCTTGCTGAAAAGAGCTTATTGAAAAACATTGCATGTGCAGTGTTGACTTTGCTAATTGGAAATTTATTGGTCCGTTGAGGCTGTTGGTGATCGCATAGCGCGGGCTCTCAGAGCTGGAGGGGATGATGATGACATCGATGACCCAGATGAAGCCCTTGATGCGGACTCCGATCAGTGCCGTGTTTCGGCACCGGCAGCCCCGACCGAGGCTTTGGAAGAGCCCCCGGTAGAGCCTGCAGCCGTAAGCGAGGAGCCAGCGGGAACGGCAGCAGACGTCGTGCTTCCGGCCCGGGATCAGGAGGCGACGACTGTGGTGCAGGATCGACCATTGTCCAAGGAAGACATGGAAGCGCAACTCAGAGTTGCGGAGCTGAAGCTGGAGGCCAAGCGCCTGCAGCTGGGCTGTAAAGTAGGTTGATTGATGCCTTGATATGTAATCAGCTTATGATACAGCGTTCGATCCAGGATGGGCATAGAGCGGAAGCGTGCTGCGAAGCAGTTTGCCAAGAGCCTCCCGCAAGGAAGTCTGAGAATAGTGCAGTCGATCATGAATCATGTCTATAACGGGCCTTTTATCATGCATACTTGTGCAGTTTCGGAGGACCGATCAGTCTGGATTCAGACGATGAGGCAAACCCTTCATCTCCTGTGAAGCCTGTTCGGTTGTTTCCCACTTCCATGGCCAATCCGGATGCCTTGGAGACACAGCCCTTTGCGATGGAGACGCAGTTGGTGCAAGATGCTTTGGCTGGTCTGGACCAGCCTGTGCCATCGCCCCCGGCCAAGACCTTTGCTGAACTTAAGACGTTGGTCCTGAGTCCCCCGGACACCAAGTCGCCGGTTGCACCGCCGGTGCCGGCAGCCGAGACGGAGACTCCGAGTCCCAGAGGTGTTGTTGCGGCTGAAATCACGCCGGTGAAGACGTATCCCACTCGTGCGGAGCAGCTTGAAGTTAAGAGCACCAAGGAGGACGACCACCAGGCTAAGAAGGCTGCAAAGGCGGCTGAGAAGGCTGGTACATCGAAGCGTGGGCGAGGCCGTGGCAGAGGCCGCGGCAGAGGCCGCGGCAGAGGGCGTGGGAATGCGCCAGATGAGGATGCCGATGACAAGGACGACGAGCAATCGGAGAAGGAGGCTTTGCAGGACGACGACAATGGGGCCGAGGCTGCTGAGGCTTCCGAGCCCACTGTGCCCAAGAAGAGAGGTGTCCGACCCAGGAAGGATCAGCAAGAGTGTCCGGACACCGAGACGGTGAAGAGCAAAGGTGGGCGACCCAGGAAGGATCAGCAAGAGTGTCCGGAGACCGAGACTGTGAAGAGCAAAGGTGGGCGACGCAAGAAGGATCAGCAAGACTTTGACCCGGAGACCGAGACGGTGAAGAGCAAAGGTGGGCGACGCAAGAAGGATCAGCAAGAGTGTGCCCCGGAGACCGAAAGGGTGAAGAGCAATGGTGGGCGACGCAAGAAGGATCAGCAAGAGTGTGGCCCGGAGACCGAGACGGCGAAGTGCAAAGGCAAGAGGGCCAAAACGGCAGATGTGGCAGCCCATGATGATGGTCCTACTTCTAGGGTTCGTGGCAAGAGATCCGTGGTTCAGGCTTCGCAGCCGAAGCCCAAGCGGGCGGCAGTGCAGACCCTCAGTGGCTTTGAGTGGCCCAATACCTTTGCTCGCCGCTACCGGCCCCAGTCCGACAACTACACCCAGAAGCTCTGGGAGGGATGTGTTCTTGCATTCAAGAATGTGATCGTGTCCCACCTACTCCCGGGGGCGCAATCGGCCGCTCAGGCCGGATGTTTTTGTTGGGCAACTACTTTGGGTTTTGTGTTTTGAGATAGTGTCAAATGAAAAATTAAAACCTACATAATGTATTGGATGAAAGGGGCTCTTCTGCTAATAGTATTTTACCTTGTGTTCATTTCGATCTATAAACCCATATAGTATAAATCCACGAGCTCTTTTTAGAATGTATTCTAGAACACCAATCACAGTGACCACTGATGCATCTTGATGCCTGCTATAAACTTGATATAATGCTATCCTGTCTACTGCTACCTGTGTTCTGCTATTGACCCTAAACCGTAAACCCCTAAACCCTAAACCTTAAACCCTAAACCCCAAACTGTGGCTCTACCTTTGTTGGATACCTCTTTCCTCGGCCCCTTGCAGTCCGACTTCTATGACTTCGCGAAGCAGTTCATCCCGAACGATGAGAATGTTTCTTCCAGAGTTGCAATGTTCAAAAGCTGCTCTTTGGCAGCCTCCGAGTTTCTAAACACGATCGAGCAAGCCTGAGCCCGGGTCCTTGATTCGTCCTAGTGGTCGATGTATACTCAGGTAGCAGCTACAAAAGCAACATGCACAATGGTTCCATGGTGTGTACGTGCTTTCGGCTGCTCGCTTTGCATCCATAGGATGATGCTGCAACGGGCCAGTTGGGGTCCATGCTTTCTGGCAGTGTGAATGCGCTACCGGGGAAGAGCCTAAAGGGCTCGCCAGGGGTGCTTCGGCTTCAATGCTAGCGTCTGCATGCTTTCAGATGGCAAGCTGGCTCTCTATGCAATTCGTGACAGCTGTGCGGTCTCTGTTCAGGGTCCACGACCACGGCGAAGGCTACCGTTTCGAAGCAAAAGAATTCTGGGCCGAGTCGACATTAATAGTGCAGATTGAAGCCTTTGTCTTGTCAGTTGTTGGCTGATCTTGCTTCTAAATTTAATATGTACGACACTCCCTGTGGGCAGGTCAAGAACTTCTTTCGGCGGACGCAAGCCCAGACCCGCTTGCTCGGTGCAGCTGCTTCAGAGCGCCAGCGGGCAAAGACTGGTCAGCCTCGCTTGTTTATGTGCTGCTTGCATACCAGAGTTCGTGATGGCTTTTGTCGTTTGCAACACCGAGTGACAGTCATGCCGCAATTGGTCCGAGGGCTGGGCTAATCGAGGTATGGGCTACAGTACTCATAGCAGGGAGTTTCAGAGGGTCCAAGATTGTTCGATGCTTTCGGAGAGTTCAGAATTCTTCAAAGTAGGTCAGCTTGCCTCTGCTGTTCCTCCCATGGTGAAGCGCAGCTACGAAGATGTGGCGATCAGCTTGATTCGCCTCGGGTCACCCAAGGTCTTTGGGCTGGCACATAGAGGATTCATATTACTGCTGCATTCCCTGGGCTACATCCATACTCTCGGCTTTGAATACTCCTGCATTCCTACATACATTGTCCTATCTCGGAGTTGCCGGCTATGTTTAGGTAGAGCCACTTCAGAAGTTCGGTGTCGCCCTGTGTTGTTTTTATACATGTCTTTCTGGGTTTCTAGGGTTGACCAGTCTAGCCCAAGACTTTTGCTCAAAACCACAAAGTACTTCTCACTGCATTTGGCTCGGGCCTCTACATTCTGCAGTACACAATTACAAAACGATCCTCTCCCACTGGCCTCTTATGAATCTGGGGTGCTTCCTCGTCATGGAATTGGAAACTCCTCTCAGCCCGAGGTTTTCGTCCTATGCATTTTGCTGCTGCTGTGGAACGACGGCATTGACTTTGACAAGGTGTGCTGGCCTTCTATGTGGGTTAAGGTTTCTAGAGTTTTTATAAACACGGGCTTGGGTCCTAATGCCTTGCTAGTGACTTTCGGGTGTTTTCGGACAAACAATAGGATAGGGTTGTGTTTGTTTTGTAGCGCAGGATCGCCTACGAAATCCGTTATCATGTTACATATCCTAGAGATTCGTTGCTAGGGGTTCGAAGAGATCCTTATTGTTTACTAGTACAGCCACATTATATATATATATATACTTGCTATATAAATGCTCTCGGGTGGCACGATTGGACCCCAACCCTGAGGAACCGATCTAGCTTACAGATATCAGGGGCCGTGGATATATTGTCCTGGATTTGTATATTTTGTGTTGTCGGATATATTTCCAAACGCTTTTATAATATATGCCAAGAACAAAGCTCATACACATGTATGCACACAGACACCCTCACATGCATGCCACACTAAACCCTGGAACTCTGGATCCAAGCAAACTGGGGTTCTACTCAAAAGCCTGTCACACCTCCCAGAGAAGCCCATGATACATTCCCGAAGCGATAATCCCACACATTCGGCAGGACATTGATCTTGCTGAGCTCTTCAGTGGAAGTGCAACCCTCTCGAAGGAGTTCTACTATGAGGGTAAGGAAGTGGTCGCTTGCGATTTGAGATATGGCCGGGGCATGGATATATGCCAATCTTCGGGGTTCGGGTGACTTGCATCGAAATTTACCAGTCTGGGTTTCATACATCTCTGCATGGAGGTATGCTTAAGAATACAACTGTAGTAAGTGTGGTACAGTGGGAACCAAGGACTTTCTGTGCAGCCGTTCTGTGTGGCCGACCGAATAGCTGTATATGGCTGGGTGTTCTTTGCAGCTCCTGGGTTTCCATATCCCGCCCGTCTACAAGAAGATCATATGCTAATCCCGAAGGCTATGAAGGCTACGAGAAAGTGAAACAGTCGAACCTTATGGCCGCAAGGCCCGGTTTGAATAAACTCCCCTGACTTAGATTAAGTAATACCTCGGGGTCCAAGCTGTTGGGGTGAGGTCAGCTTTGCTATGCTTTCTGGCTGCAGCTTTGGGTCAATGGTGGGTGATCGAGCAGCCCAGAACTTTCTTGCTTTTGCAAAGTCAACGCTTCGTATGGCTTCGAGACAAGCTACAGGTAACTTGTGCCATTGGCATTCCGGAATGCTTGGGGGCTTGCTTTGGGTTCGAACTAATTGCCAATACTATTCCTTGGGGTTCCGTAATAGAGGTACACTATAAAGGACCCAAGAAAGGCTGGTCCAATTACAAAGGCCCCTAAACCCTAAACCCCTAAACCCTAAACTCTAAACCCTCAAACCCTCAAACCCTCAAACCCTAAACCCCTCCACTACTCTTTGAACCTTCCGCCACGGAGAGAAACTCTGGAAGACCGAAGGCCCGATGAAGCCCACAAGTCTTCGAAATTTCGGGTTTAGGGTTTTAGGGGTTTAGGGGTTTAGGGGTCTAGGGGTTTTGGGGGTTTAGGGGTTTAGGGGTTTAAGGGGTCGAGGGGTTTTTAGGGGTTTAGGGGTTTTAGGGGTTTATGGGTTTAGAGTTTGGGGGTTTAGGGGTTTAGGGTTTATAGTTTAGGGCTTTAGGGGTTTAGGGTTTATAGTTTAGGGGTTTAGGGGTTCAGGGTTTTGAGTTTAGGGGTTTAGGGGTTCAGGGTTTAGAGTTTAGGGGTTAAGGGGTTTAGGGTTTGGGACGACTACTACTACTACTACTACTACTACTGCACTACTACTACTGCTGCTGCTGCTGCTACTACTACTACTAGTACTAGTACTAGTACTAGTACTAGTACTAGTACTACTACTACTACTACTACTACTACTACTACCACCACAATGTCCCTCCCTCGGCCTTCCATTTCGAGCTTCCTATAGTGGAGATCACTTTTGGATGACGAGTAGAATTCAATCAACGGAAACCCAAAACAGTTCAAAGGTATGTTTGCATGGCCTCTGCTGATATACAGCTACTGCTTCTTCTGTTGCTACTATTACTACGACTACTACTATACTGCTACCACCTCTGCTACTGCTACTTCTAGTGCTGCTACTACTACTACTACTACTACTACTAATACTACTACTACGACTACTACTCGTACTCCTGCTCCTACTCCTACTCCTAGTACGATGCTACTCCGGAACCCTATAAACCCTATAAAGCCCCTAACCCTAACCCCCCTACATACCCTAACCTCCCCCCCTAACCCTAAGACCCCTAGGACACCCCTACAAAACCCCTACCCTAACCTCCCTTCTCTTCTGCAGCCGAGATTTATCGTCTGGATCTGTGGATGGCTTCGTTCGGCTCCAGAACGCCAAAGCGCAGCAGCCTTTGGAGCAACTCGAGGGTCATTAGTCTTTTCTTCACGAGTAGAAAGCTGGAATGCAGCACACAAGATCCTACTGCGAAGACTACAAAGCGGTACGTGAACGACAAGGGGAAACTTTGCTTCGAGGGCAATCACAATTTGAAAGACACAGGGATTCTCGGCCGATTTTGGTGCTTTCCAGGATTGCTCTGTTCAGGTCTCCGTGTTTACAAAATTAGAGCCTTATCTGAGGATCTACACTCGCCAATTTGCGAGGAGAGCTTTCGAGGCCATGCAACTGGGCGAGCGTGTCCTACCTAAACCCGAAAGCTGTGTTGGAGAGAAGAAGCCAAACGAAGCCATGTTGCTTTTCCAAGCAATGGATGACAGCGATAAATGTGAGGATGCCGATTTGATTGCAGTCGCACATTACCTCCGAGGATGCAAGGCATTGCGTATTCCGGAGGAATGGAGAGCAGTGCTTCCTAAGAGGCTGTAGTATAGACAACTGCGTGATTCCGTATGAGGGAGAGAAAGACCGATCGAGATTCTCAGTTTGCATTCAACAGTATGCATTCATGTGCATGCATGCATGTATATAACAAACATGGCACATTGTTCTGGTAATCACGTGTCGCAGTGATTTCTCTACAGGTGCTAGCTGGACTTCCATAGATGTCTATCGTCCTGCAATGATCGATACCCGTCCAGAAAAAGTCTTCTGGGCCAAAGAGATTTTGCGACACCTGTCCACCCGGACCCAAGATGAACAATTCGATTTGGTGACCGGGCCCCTGGAATCCGTTCGGCACGGAGTCCAGGCTTTGCTCTCAGTTCTCCCCATCTATGCTGAGGGTGCCTTGGCCTCTGCTAGAGTGCTGGCCGATGTTTTGACAACGGTCAGGTGCTGTGTGGAGTCTGGTGGTTTGAAGGGTGACGAGGAATTGCAAATTATCGAGATGGGGTTTCCAACCTATCCACAAGAGCGCCATGAACCCATGGCCCAAAGAATCCAACTTCGTGGGCCGAAGATGATTGGCAGGGAGATTTCGCAGGCACTCGATGGCTGGGATGCTTCTGCTACGATTCTTTGGTGCCCTGCTGTTAGTGAGTGTCACTGGCACATGTCAATTCTCATGGTTGCATTCAAAGATGTTCTAGCCTTCGTGGAGCACACTGAGTGATGTTGGAAGATAGAAAGCATCCTCTCCATTTGTGCATAGCAGGGTTTTGTCAGGATGGGTCGGATACTGCTCGATGCTTGATGCAAGACGAAAGATGCAATTGCTTGTTTGTTGTTCTTTTCTTCGTCTTAGGGGGTTTTGGGCTGGCTTCTGGGGCCTTTGGTTGTAAGCTTACCTAGGATATATTAGATTGGGGCGGGTTTTGGGCTGGGCTTTTGGGGCCTTTGGTTGTCTTCGGCGAATTAGATTCTACTTTTCAGGGTCCGTGTTTCTGGGTTGTCCAAAATATCTTGGGAGGAAGTTGTTTCTGGTGTGTTTTTTGCAGGTTTGCCCGTCTACAACCGTAAAATCGCCCAAAAGAGCGTAAACCTCTGCAACGCCCCAAAAACTAAAACCCACACCACAACCGCGTAAAGATCATAAATTTGTCGTAAACCCAGACCCCAAAGCCCAGAAGAGCATAAATTCCCTAAATTAAGCGTGAATTGGCTAGGGCGAAGGACCGTAATTATCCGTAATTATCCTAGCCAACCGAAAAGACCATAAAAAACCAAGCCCAAAAGACCATAAATTGCCCGGCCCACCCGGAAGGCCATAAAAAAGAAGCCGAAGGAGCGTAAATCCCAAAAAATCCTACGCAGAAAGGGCCATAAATAAGCGTAGGAAAAGCGTAGGAAAACCGTAGAAAGGCCATAAAAACTCGTAAATTTTAGACCGTAATTCTAGACCAGGCAGCAGGCAGCAGCTCATCCCTCTGGGTGTCCAGGTCGTCCGCATCTGCAGGCTTTTGAAAGGGCCCAAGTGTGGAGATGCCACAGGAGCCCAAAACCTTTCTTAGCAAAGCCTGGTCTGGGTCCTCTCTTGCTGCTGGCACGTCAAACATGTTTGCTGCTTTCATTAAGCAAGAGCAAGCACTGCCGGACGATGAGATTGCACTGCAGCAGAGGGTGCAGGACAGTGTCATGTCCGTGCATGCATATACAAGATGTAGCTTCCGTTGTCCTGGGTGGTTATCCTATTATACCAGGAACTACGTCGACAGCTGGGTATGGGCTCGGCTGTCAAAGTGGTGCCTGCCTTGGGCCTCCCGTTCTTGATTCGCTTCTTTTGCTTGCAAGAGCTTTCAAGGAGCCATGCGGGGATCCAAAGCAGCCTGGACCTCTGAAGGCCCCCAGATTAGTTCAGCAACTGAATGCATTCTGGACACATGCTTATCAGGGGACCGGACTGGATAAGGAGGAGGCCGGTTTTGCTTGGGTTTCTGCTTGATTCGTTCATGGGCCTTCTTTTGTTCTCTCTCTCTCTCTCTCTCTCTCTTCCTCTGTCTCTCTTGCAGGCGCCGAAGTCTTCCCTCCCCGAAACTACCGCCTGCTCCTGAACTCATGAAATCTTCGACTGCATCCTGGTTCTGGTTCAGTGAACACTTGAGGAGCCTCGCCCGGAGACGTTGTCGGCCACGCAAGTGGAGGCCTGAATGATTGGTGCCAGTAAGACTAAGACGATACCGTTATGCGCGACGTTAAGTAGAATCTGAGGAGCCCCAAGTGGATGACAGCCAGGCTCGGATCTTTCTCGGTTTTCTAAATCAAACTTCGTGTGCCTTACTTAGCTTCGGTATCCCCGCCAGGCACCGGCACCTGCACCTGCCCAACCTACCGCCTGCTCCTCGAATTACCCACAGCCTCAGTGCCTGTATTGTGTCATTCCATCAGGAGCCACCTTCGAAGGCATTGCAGCCTACGGAACAGGAGCCCTAGCCAACCCATACCGGGAAGAGTACGAATTCTCATGTTGTGTCAGGAGACCCGACCGAATGACATCCAGGAGAGCCGTCAGGATGACCTCCAGGAGACCCAAATGGATGACATCCAGGATTGTTTCCCTCCCTCTCTTCTCTCCGCCCTCTCTGTGTCTCTCTATGTGTCTCTTTGTCTCCGTCTCTCTCTCTCTCTCTCTCTCTCGCTCCCTCCCTGTCTTTCTGTGTCTCTGCTGCAGGAACCGAAGCCTTCGATCCCGGACACTGGCGTGAGCTCCTCAAAGTTTGGATTTCCCTATCCCTATAAACCCAATCTCTCAGAACACTTATACAGTAGCCCAACATCTCTGCATGGCAGTAGTTCCCGTGCCGTCCCCGAAGTAGACCTGCTATCCAAAACTTAGGTTGCAATGTATCC